TTCGTGACAATCGGAGCGATTAGCGGACTATGCGCTAGGTAATATCGTTTACAATTGTATTAATTTAAAAGAAAAATAGATTTTTTAATAAAAAATAAATTAGTAAATAATTTTCGCATACTGATCTTACAGATGGATTTGATGTAGATGTAATTCTTTTTTTAATTTATTCGATTAAAAAAATTGTTTTAATTTATAAACATTTTTTCGTATTTCATTAATTTAGTAGAATTATAATTTATCTAATTAAAGGGTCTCTTATTAAAATAATATAATAAATACATATTTTTTCTGTTATTGACTAATTATTTTAGTCTGTTAGGTTCGATGTTTCCGCTGCCGCGAGTGATTTACGCCATGGCTTCTGATGGACTGGTCTTCAAATGGATGGGCAATATAAATTCTCGATTCCAAACTCCTATTATGGGTACGCTTTCCGCTGGGCTACTTACAGGTTTGTAATAATAATTATTTCAAACAATTATTTAATTTATACGTGAGACTATTTTATCGCATAACTAATTATATAATCATTTAATGACATTTACAGGCATTCTAGCAACGATATTTGAACTCGATCCACTAGTGAAAATGATGAGTATCTGCACGCTTCTTACATATTCAATTGTTGCATCTTGCGTACTTATTCTACGGTAAATTTGAATTTATAACTTAATTAATTTTAATTAGATTCCGCTCATTTTTTTTGCAATGCAAAGTATAAAGAAATTCAATCTAAATTGAGCAGTAATAAGATGTTTTTATAAAATAAATTTAAAGTTTACAATGTTAGTACAGCATAAATATAAAAATATATAAAGAATATAATATAAAAAAAATAATATAATGATATCGAACGTTTCGGAACTCACGGGTCCTTCCTCAACTTCTTAAAGATGTTACAAAGTCATAGAGATGATAATCTTACGGTCTAAGCGACATGATGTGGTACAAATTGTTTTGAATAAATTGATTCTCCTGTTTTTTGTAGGTGAGGAAATTGTGCAATAAAATGTATGAAAACAGGAGTATCTTTACGTATTCGTCTGATTCCGTTAGGCTCAAGTGTTACAAAATTAATTAATTTTGTTTAAATATGGTTGTAGTTAAATTGATTTTTTTTAGAATTGAAGTTGAAAATACGTCAATAAATTTAGTTGGATTGATAATGAGATTAAAATTATTGAACAGATTAATATCGACGATAAAATCGTTTTTGTTGATAACAAATATATTTTTTGTAGATACGAGGAAAGCGAAGCATACAAGAAGAAAGGCGACCATAATCCACGGACTTTCGCATTTATCGCAAAACAATTGATAAGTGCAAACAAATTGAATCATTCTACAAAACTCACAGCGCAGATTGTTACTGTTCTAGTATGCTGTTATGGTAAGACTTATTATTATTTTAATGAACGCTGATCATCTCGTGATCTCACATGTCTCATAAATTATTAAACTTTTTGCAGTTCTTCTTTGTATCTGTACTGCCGCATTATTATCGATACATATGACAGAAATCATCGCAGGAAAAGTCACTTTCATAGTGCCACTTGTAATTTTAGTTATGGCACTCGTGATCACCCTCAGTTTTATTTATTTCCAACCAGTCTCTGACAAGAAACTCGCATTTTCGGTATATATGTTTTTATTGTTACAATTTCTTTGTTAGTATTGTCTTGTTAATTCTTAATTCGCGACATTAATATAGGAACATTAGATTTTATTTATTGCTATTATTATTGAATACCATAATACATTAAGGGGATTTTGAAATCATCAATGTGTGCTTCGTACATATGATATAATAACACGTATAATGACGTATCGATGTGTCGTGAGTGTATTGTAAATCACATGTAAGTCGATAAAATAATGATTCTATTCGATCGTCTTGGACCAGCATCCCTTTGAGCATACTATATTAATATTGCTAAGGGATACTAACCCGTGTGAAGCTGGCCCCCAATATTAAGAAGTCGATTTTTTTCTTCATGCATTCGTTTGCTCATCGTTTGCTCACGGATGAGCTAACGAAAATTCCAACTGAGCATTCATGAGCAAACGATGAGCAAACGAATGCATGAAGAAAAAAAATCGATTTTTTAATATTGAAGGGCTAGCTTCACACGAGTGGGATACTATCCAATCAATACTCAACGAGTTTGATGAAACTTTGCTATAAAAATATCCTTAAAATGAAAAGAATAATGCCACTTTTATCAGCAATCGTTAACGCGACAGATTGTATCTAAGCCATATGGGTTGCAATCTGATAGGTACTATTAACATTTCATGTTATTTTTTAATATTGTTTCTTAGCATTGACGATTATCAATAGAATTGGTAATATTACTCTTTATTTTGAGACTACTTTCATTAGCACAAATTTCATTAAAATTTAGATATATTAATTAGGTAGTTTTGTTTCTTATGTAAGGGTACCTCTAAGATTTTCATTTCTCATTGAATTGTTAATTTTTATTCTATTTTTTATTTTGATTATGAATATTTTCTTTGTAAAAAAACTATGGCAAAATGAATAAGAAAAATGAATAATAACATTGCGAATTAATGGCATGTTAGAAAACAATAATTTATGAAATAGTTCTTGTTTTTCTATTAAATGTTTTTGTCAGGTGCCGTTTGTACCGTTTTTGCCGGGATTCAGTATTCTTATTAATATTTATCTTATGATGACGTTGGATAAAGACACGTGGATACGATTCTCCGTATGGATGGCAATTGGTAAGTGTATTATAAGATGAATATAAATGTATGCATTAATATGTAATAATTGATTGTTTTAATGTGTTACTACAGGCTTGGGCGTATATTTCCTATATGGTATGTGGCACAGTCATATTCGACAAAAGAAATTGTCAACCAATAATGACAAAAACGCTGTCTTTTCCCATATTACATAATAAATTAAAATACTATAATAATGTCCTGGATTATTTTAATTTATTATGACTTATCGGAAAATTCAATAAATTTTTAAAATAATAAAGAGTACGAGTATTACATTTATAATGCTTGGAAGGTATCCATTATGATTTGACGCAATTGTAAAATATAAAAAGTATTATAATTTGTCCCTATTTTATATTTTAGAATATCACATTGATGTATAAGATATAGCAATAATTTTAATCATTTTAATTACTAAATTTATACTTTTTGCTATAATATAATTGCTATATATACTTTACTATGATCTACGTTTTCTAATAAAACTTTGCTTAATTTCCACAGAAAATCAAAATCTTCCAAATATTATTAATGTAAAATAATAGTTTCACACATATCAACATCTCTTTATGAAATTGATAACGATGAGAAAAAATATAGTACATGTAAATTCTATGAATTTTATATTTAAAAAATTGAAAGAAATAATTATATGCACTTATGTATACATACACACACACACACACACATATATATATATATGTATATGTGTGTGTATAATATATATACATATTAACAATTTAATAATTATATGATATTTAAATGCTTATTATATTACATATTAGATGTTTAATTTTTATACAATACAGATATGTAATAAATAATTTAAGTAAAGTAAAAACATTTTATATTTATTATATTGTTTGTGCTCTATTTCTTACAAAATTACTTGTTTTACTTATATAGTATGTGTTCTCGGCTTAAACTGTCAAACTTAATATATGAGTTGAAATATCTCGATTTTGTATAAAATGTTGTTGCTTTAAGATTCTATACTTTAGGTTTGGCGGTTTAATATACGAGTACCCTGTATTAGAATCCAAATAATAGATTTCAAACAATATAATATCTAAGAAATCAAAAAGTTGAGATTGTTTAAGGATAATTTTGTCATGCTTTGCTTCTATCATTTTTTTTTTACATTTTTCACCATTTCAAACTTTCACTCCAGTAATTTATAGGAATTTTATACGTTTCTATATTGTATTAATAAATGAATAAATTTGAAAAAAGAGTGTTTAATATTAAAATCCCGATATCAGAAAGGTCTCTGGAAATAAAACATAAAATATATTGACAATATATTGTAAACGTTATTTATCTGTGAAAACAATAAATCTTATTTTACTTGACTCTTTAATGAGAAGTTTGCATATTCTCATACGGTACAGAATATTTATGATAAATGTTTATTACTATTTATTTTTTGAAATAATATATGTAAAAACGTTTTTTGCATAGTTCTACTTTTAAAAAAATCTTCTTAAAAAAGGAAAAAGTATACGACAAATGCATTAAAAAAGTATTGAATTTTTCTTAATCAAAAACGGACATGAAATAAATGTAATTATCCAAGTATTTCATTACGCAAGGCACATAAGATGGACCGAAAGTTGCTAAAATTGCAGATAGAGAAAATCGACGGTTATCTTTCAAAAATTCTATAAATATAACGCCTCATTCGACTACCGATGATCTTGAAAGGAATTAAGATACTACTGCTGAAAGAGCGTCGCGTCATTAAAAAAGCAAAAGAACGCAGGTTATTTTTATTTTTGTTTTTGCCCGTTGTCTGTGCTATTTATTACAGTTATTGTCTTCTTAGAGAATTGGAATAGGTACTCGTATAAAAAATTGACAAGTATCCAAAGCGGCAAGCATCTTCCTCATAAGATATTAGAAAAAAACACTTGAACGAAATCAAAGAAAATTTGGCTGGACATATGACATTAATCGAAGAGTAGGGGCCTCGAAGTTTACGAAGAAGGCCCTGCATTACGACGCAATTGGAGAACGTTGTATCGCGTGGTAATTTATTGATAAGAATTGCGTGTCATACGTATATATGCGATACAACATATTTTATCTGGTTTTCTGTTTGACTATGAACGATATAATATCGTAGTATCAGGAAAAGATCAAACACTCACGTAACAAAATCGTAGTGAAAAATCGCAAAACATTTAATTTATAATAAGTAACAATTGAAGTATTAATAGTTGAGAAATTATTAAAATATATTTTTTTTTATTCATGACTACAACAGGAACGTAACTACCAGTGATGGTAGATACAATTATTTATATTTTTTAATTAGTTGATTTGCATAATCAATGTAGGCTCGTTTCGCTGTTTCTTGCGAAGTGCCGTTCTTCTTGTTCCAAGCTTCCCATTTGGCTTTCCCTTTTAAATCCAGCATACCAGGTTTGGCTAAAATATTATACAATATATATTGTCAATATAATATTAATCATTTATTTTATAGTTATAATGTTATATAACAGCTATATATATTTTATCATTTAAATTATTTATTTTACGGTAAAGCAGCAGAATAAGTATATAAATAATTAGTTTTGTGTGATTTAACAGTAAAATAAGTATAATTTAACAAATATAGTTACATAAATATAATTAATAAAATTAATGTATAATTAATATAATATAAATGTACAATTAATTTAATGATTATAATGTATGAACATGTGAAATTAAATATTATCATTGTATGTGTAATTTTGTGATATTAATAAGAACATACATGTGTTATTGTCACCAACTGTAGCTTGCTTGAACAAAGCATAAAGCTCCAAAAGCTCCTCGTCAGTAGGACGCTTCGTAAACGCCTTTACAGCTTCTGCAGCCGTTTCAAAATCCTAAAAAAGAGAAATACAATTTTAATATATAAAACTCTTTAAAAATGTGGTTCTATTAAAAAAACAATAATTTCATAAAATAAATATAATACCACACACAGGTTCTTATTCGTGATAAATTATTATAACGTAAACTATGAAGAAAGAAAAAAGAAGAATAAGATCGCATTGTTGTTGATGTAAGCGAATAATTGACTAATGTAGGTTGTTTTTGTTCATTTTATATAATTTCAAATTTATACTGAAGATGGTCATATTATTGACCGAAACGTTTATATGGATTTTATGTTATTGATATGAATAAATTATTTACGTTATAATAATTTATCACGAATAAGAACCTGTGTGTGGTATTATGCTTATTTTATGAAATTATTGTTTTTTCAATTTTAATATTTCAAAATAATATTATATTTATACGTATTAATATCATAATATTGCATAAGAAAATGTAAAAAAAAAAAGAGTGTTCATCAAACACAGTGTTGATAGTCACTATATATTTCTGCGGCGTATTATAATATAGCTTATAAATATGGATTATGCTCGGAAAATGCTACGAAAGTGACCTTTGGATAGTGAATGACTGCATTCTTTTCAAAAGTGACCTTTATTATTAACTAAATTTAAATTTACACGGACCGAAAGTCATCATACACTTAAAATTGTTGATCAGTAGTATATAAATACGACCGCGCTTAAAGTTCGCGTACCATTAATAAACAGCTTTTGAGATGGTGCTTCATCGCCAAATGCCGAACGAAGATTTTCGACACATTGTAGCGGAGTTAGCGACTTTTTAAAATCGTAGATAAGTGTCTAACCATCGCGCGAAAATATTCTGATAATAAACTCATTTTCTTTCGAAAGTGTCAACTTTGAATATGTCTCACGACTGAACGAATGAATTGGTCTGTTTTCTGTTCCTGCACTAGACTAAACTAGAGCTCTCTTTCTCGCTTTCGACAAATATCAAACATACACCTATCTCACTTTTTTTAAAAGTGTACACTAGTTCAGCTACAGAAAATAGACCTAATGTTTGCTGATGCGTCAAAGGCAAAATCAAATAAAAACATATTCAAAAACATATTTTTTATTTCGATATAGAAATGTCGTTAAATAATATTATATAACAGGTATTAAAGCATCTTAAAATAATACATGGCGAGCATCTGAACTTATAATGAGAGTTTTCTTTTTTAAACAAGAATTTAATATCATCAATTAATGGAGCAAGAAGGAAGAAAAATATAATAAACATTCGTAATTACACAATAAATAAGTATGTATTATGTAATAAACTACATAAACTATATATATTATATTACACTAATTATGCATTATGTAATAAACTGCATATCACTGTATTTGATAATTAATTTAATTGTTTATTACTATTTTATTTTTTATTACAAATTTTTATTAATTTACATATTCTTTATGTTCTATAATTTTTATTAATTTACATTATTCTTTTATCATGCATTGATTCAATCAATGTTATATTTGAATATCGCGCTACACTATAATTTAGGACTAAAATTTGATTGGCCAGTTATTGCTGTGAATTGCACTATTTGCTCACATCTTTTGCACTACTTGCACTATTTTGCCTTTGACTGTCTATGAGTGGTACGCGAACTTCAAGCGTGGTCGAGTAAAATCACTCAGTGATGAATTCCATGAAGTCCGTTCTGTTACGGCGATCACTCCAGAGAACGTCGATGCTGTACGTAACTTATTGCAGGAAGACCATCGCACAACTTACAGAGAAATAAAGACATCCCTAAGCATTGGTATGACAGAAGTCAAAACAATTTTACATCATCTTTTGGCGTCAGAAGACTGTGTGCTCGTTGGATACCGCACAATTTAATGGAGGCCCAAAAATAGGTGTCAAATGGTGCACAGAAATGTTCAAAAAAAATATGATCATGGTGGGTCCAATTGGAAAGCAAGCAACAATCGAGTGTATGAGTGTTTCTAGATGAGCCGCATCCAACAAAAATGAAGCGCGACAGAAGTGTTGGGAAGAAAATGATTCAGAAAGATGGAGAAAATCGATGATTCATTTTCGACGATTGGTTTTATCGAATGGAAAAGTATATTTATTGTAACGGAGAGTATTTTGAGGAGCAAAGCCAATTTCCGAAATTAATTATATGTTTGTGTTACGATTTTACAGAAACTTTCAGAGCAACCTACGTATTGTGCACAGTCACAGTTTGTAATCAATGAAATTAGTATGCTGTGTCGCCAGTCAATTTTCGCGGCTTATTTCCGTTTCAATTAAATCCATCGTCAATTTTTTTATGTAGTCTACGATTTTAAACTTCCGAAAATTACGAGTGAAGACTGCATTTTTTATACATAAAACATAAAATCTTCGTTCTTTATGTAAATATGCAGCATTAATAATGTATTCTTTACAAGTCGTCACATTAAAAAATGAAAAGATTTGCGATACCTGGTCAAGAGACATCCTTATAGTTAATCGCACGAATGTATACTGATAGATATTACAAATACTTTGTGACCGACGATCGAATGCTCGCACAAGTTAAAAGCGCAAATCCCCACCTAACAAAATTTATCACGCTACGTAAACCAGGGTCGGATGACATAAACTTGTTCCTTTTTTTAAGATAGCTTTTTTTTTAATAGCTTATTATAATTAGACATCGGATTCTTATGCAATTTCATATCTTTTTAAGAAAGCAAATTGAAAAATAACAAAATAGAAATTTGTCTTATTGCAAAAGTATTTTAAAATATATATTTATTTGTATATATTTGTATATTTGTGCAAATTTGCATATTATGTTTGCTACAAAAAATATCTGCATAAAAAATCCGATATCTAATTATAACAGATAATAGCTATTTAAATTAATTTCCTTTATTGAAAATTAAGTAAGACTTTGTATCTGAGCAAATTGTTAATGTTTCATATTAAATATCTCTGTAATTAATTCTCAAATTATATTATAATTTATCCAATTAAATGAAAAGTATAAGATTCGCATTTCTAGGATTTAATTTCCCCAAAAGCGCCTTTTATTTTTGACTTAATATAGTCGAATTTTTTCAGTGTTTTAATTTAAAAATAAATTTCTCAATCGAGCTTTGCTGAATAAATTTCATGAACTTTGTTTGTAACTTAAAAAGATATATAAATGAATAGAGACACGGACATGATTTGATAAGTCCGGGATACTCTGTGTTTTTAAGTGTGTAATGCAATGTGTGAGTGTATATACCGGTTCTGGGATCAACCGTAGAAAACCCCGTTATAGGCAATCGTCATTGATGATATATTCATTTATAAACCTTTTCGGCTTCGCGAATACATAAGTATTTTGAAACGAACAATACGATAACACTGAACACAACCATTCTTTGTTAATAAGAAAATCTGTTTAAAAAAAAAAAACCACATAAATTAAAAGGAATTAACCGACAGGAAAATTCTCATTTTACGAATTTATGAATCTTAATCTTCGAAATCAAGAATTGAAATAATTTCTGACTTTTCTCTATTTTATTCTATTTCTCTTTTTGTTTGTTTTCGTCACACATGGAATAATTTTATTTACAGATTTTAGTAATTTCATCATGTTCTACAATCGCCAATATTTCTCGAGTGATTTTTAATTTCTTGAATTACTTAATTCTGTGAAATTTAATTTTACAAAGTGAGTGCTCACCGACTAATTCCTTTTAATTATCCATACTTTTTGCGTGAGAATAAAACAATACCTGATCGACCGACATTTGGATGTGAATCCGCTTCGTGTGCAAGCTAACTGTCTACTGACTGTAGCTAGTAATCACGATTCTATGCTTCCCGATCGCCAGCGAGTTTGTTACTCTAGCATCAGAAGTGGGGAGTGTGGTTCTCGATCTTGAATTGATTATACAGTACCATGGTTATTACGAATGATTACATATACGCTGCAAATCGAAATATAAATATAAAAAGTGACCATAATATATGTTTATAGGATTAGTTTTTCATATGAAATAATAATACTATGTTACACTATATCACGTTTAAATATGTAATTCTATTTTTATATACAGCCATGTGTATTGTTTTTATACAAAAAACCAATCACACACATACATTGTGTAGACACATATATGGATTTACAATGTATATATAAATAAATTTCATCGCGGCTCAAAGTCTAAAGGTAGGTTATAATCGATACGAAAAAAAACTTCACAATATGAATAATCTTGGAATAACAAAGTGATCTGCAATATAAGTAAATATTGCAAAAATTTTATTTGGCAAGATAGATAAGCGTTTATAACATGCTTAATTAATAATATTAATAATAAAAATAATTGCTAAGAAATGTGAGGATGTATTTATTTATATCCAGAACAATAATTGCAATTAAATATATGTGCAATAATTGCTCATACATCTCATTGCCACCCAACAACACATCAACAACATTGCTCGTCTGACTCGTAATTTGAACGTCTAATTAAAGTGGAGACGAACAATTGCAATTAATTTGTTCCTCGATGCGTTGCCAAATTAGACATAGCGTGACAACAATGTGAACAAACTAGCTACGGATAATCTACGCGAACGAGATAATGATTGTGTGTACCATAAACTCGAGACCAAAGCTATATGGATATGTAATATTAAACATTAAATAATATATAAAGGGAACGGCAGGAGCATGCACATCGCTCAAGTGTTTATCTATAAATCTCTACACTTATATACGCCATTACGTGTATACGATGTGAATTTAATAATTGTAAGATTTGTTTGAAAAATAAACTCTAGCCAAAGAGGAATTCATACTACGTAACATAATACTGCTGAACTTTAAAAGTGGCACGCAATATTATTTACTGTCTGTTTTGTTCTTGTTTTTCTCTTGGTAACAGATGACTCGATTGAACGTATCATATTTTATCATGCTCCACTTTGCAAGAAGAGTCTTCTCTGAAATCATAATTTCGCTGGTCCTTGCACTCGTTGTTCGGAGAAGAACGAACGGGGCCAATGTGCCACATCAGCACCACAGACTCACCTGCGCAGGAATGTCGGAATTCCTGCCTACCGCTGACGCACAATTCAACACAACCTTACGCACTCATACATATGAATGCTTGTATATGTATACATTTATAACATTTTGTAAATTACAGTTCTGTTTATGGATTTATATTACAAATTTTACTACAATATTTAGTTTATGCATCGCATTGTACTACAATGCACTAACCCAAGCAGAACCACAAGTCATTATAGTACCAAAATTATGTCAAAATGACTCCAAAATGATCACTATATATATATATATATATATATATATATATAAAAGTCATTTTTCAATTATTTTCCAATTTATTTTAACGTCGTTTTGATATTATCATGATTTGCTGTTTTGTTTGGGAAATGATTTCTTAATAGACTTTAAAACAAGCGCATAAACTTTGCGCAATTTACATATGCTTACAAAAAAGCGGCACCTATGAAAAACATCATAAAAGTATTTTCACTTGTAATCATTCTTCAATAATTATAACAATCATCTCAAAGTTAATAATTTGTATTATATGTATATATATATATTGATATAAAATATAATTAATATTCTCGTACAAATATAACATTTCAGTCATGGTAAAGCGGTTATAATATTTTATTGTCGTCGAGATATACCAATAATAATTAAACGTTATATGTATCTACATGAAGTTGTCTTTTAATGCATTATAACTTACATCGCAACATCTATTTCATTGACAAATTATAATTAATCAAAATGAATAAATAATTTTAAAGTTGTTGCTGTAAAATGTTGCGAAGATGCGACGCATGCATAACGCACAAAAGAATTGTCGCGTTACATATGTGGGAGTCAGCAGAAAGTTTGATTACGAAAACGCTCGGGCACGAGAACGAAACGGAGAAATCCCTGAAGAAAGAACGCGGAAACACTGCTGAACGATATTAGATACGCTACGTGCAATTTTCTTGTTTCTCATCAATCGCATATCCATCATTGCAATGATGCATTGAATTGTAAAACTAACGTAGGTACTGTAAACATTTAATAGAAAGTAAAAATTTTTATTAGAGGAAATACATTTGAAAGAGAAATTTTTTACATAGACATTTATACAATAATTTCGCGGTTAGAGTAAAAGTGTAATTGTAAATAATTTAAAATGTTTCTTCTTAAGTCTATCTTGAAATCTATAAGTTACTTTCACTCGATGTTCTTTATATCATAAAGGGGGGTGAACTTAATATAAAATAAACTTAATACGAAAAAAATAAAAATTGCATTTCCAGAAATATAATTTTGTCTAAATATTTAAAAGTGGATCATAGTATACGTTATTGGATTAATGATTAGTTTATGTATTTATTTAAAAAATGTACTTTAACAAAATATTGCATTTATAAGTCAAGTAAAAGTACAATATGAAACTTTATAAATATTTTAACAACAAGCACCTCCAAAAGAAATTTCCGTAATATTGTCAGTTATCAATCAATACTGACAGAAGTAGGGACCAGATAATTATGAAAGTACTTGATTAAAATATCACATAAAATTCGGTTTATCTCCTCGAGTAAAGTACAATTGATTTTTACATTATTACTATCATACAAATTTTGCGTGCTTTTAAACACTTTTAACGCACGTATATTATCGTTTAAAAACGAATATAAAGACTCGTATATGCAAAAACTACTAATAACAAATAACTGCAACTTTCATAAGCAATCTGACATGTAAATATTTTACAGAAAATGCATTCGTCATATATTACGTATTCGAACTACGTGATACAGGAAGTATTTTGATCGAGAAAAAGTCATTGAAGTTCCAGAACAATAGTAATATTTGCTTTTGTACATTTTGAATATGGATGCAATTTTGAATTGGATGCATTATTATCAGTTTATCTTACTGTGACACAGTTGTTATAAAAAAAAAGATAAAATCATGTTGCAATGATATCTATTACTTTATAAAAATCTTATTTACAAGATTAACGACAATTATAGTATATTTATGCCTGTTTGATCATGTCACATAAATTAATAATAAATAATCTCTGTTTAATTAAGCATTACTGCAAAATTCTAATAAGTATATTTGCAATATCTTGATTCGCTATTATAATTAAATTATTACATTATCAATACGTTTAATGAGAAATACTTTTTAACAATAGCGTCATTAAATTGTTATATAATTAATCTATCATTTTTTCTTCTAAAAAAAACAGATAAAAAAAATTGTACAAATTCATACGAGTTGCTCAAAACTGAAGTACGTGTGAGAATCCATTGGATCCATATAATTCATGGATCACTGATCTACGTACTACGGTACTGATGCGCGAGGCTTGCCGAAGATTGCCGAGCGGTGCCGAACAGTTCTCGGAGTCCGGTACGCGGGCCTTGCGTATACGCGGAGCGTTCCGAAAATCCGGCGCGAGTGCGGCCGCGTGATTGTCGCCGCGCACACGCGCGCGATCGCTCGATCATTGAGAATC